TTTTCTTTTCTATATTGAAAAAAAACCGGAAAGGTATTTTTTTCTAGGACAAATTTTTGAGTTATGAATTTTCAAAATTTTCGTTTTTTAAATGCAGATCTATTTTTAATGTCGGATAACTAAAAAATATTGTTTATTTTCATTTTTTGACAAGAGAAAAAAGTTTTGTTTTTCCCTGTACTATTCAATAATGATAACAATATTTTTTTTATGTTTTATTAAAAAAATAAAAAAATTTTATAAACAAATTAGGTTTTTTTAACTTTGGGTATGACAAATTTTTCTTCTTTAAAAAACATACCTAAAAATGCTGGAAAGTTAACAAATTAGAATATTTGTAGAAAAAATCATGTTTCCTTTTTTTCCATTGCCATGGAAAACAATTCAAAACATATGTAAATTCTCTCAAAAACTTAAAAAATTTATTAGCACAAACAATTACATTTGTTATAAAAAAAATTATTTACTTCTTAAACAAATTAATAATTGCTTATTTCTGAAAAAATTAATATAAAACATTTTTAAAATTCAATTACAGGCAAACCTCTCTAGGGCGGAAAGCAATTTTTAGTGGCCAAAAGTTTTTATTTTCTTTTTAGGGGGTTGAGACTAAATGTTATATTTAAAAAAAAATGAAATATATTCACCATTTTTTTAAATAAGGCAACGAATCAAAGAATTGCTTTTCGTAAATAGGAGGAGTTTAAATATTATTTTTATTGGCCAAAACTTTTTATTTTATTTTCAGGGGGTTGAGACTAAATTTAAAATTTTTTAAAAATGAAATATATTCACCATTTTTTTAAATAAGGCAACGAATCAAAGAATTGCTCTTTGTAAATAGGAGGAGTTTAAATATTATTTTTAGTGGCCAAAAATTTTTATTTTCTTTTTAGAAGGTTGAGACTAAATGATAAATTAAAAAAAAATGAAATATATTCACCATTTTTTTTTATGAAGGCAACGAATCAAAGAATTGCTTTTTGTAAATAGGAAGAGTTTATATATTATTTAAAAAAGTAAAATAATATTTATATAAAAATAATATTTAAACTCCTCCTATTTACAAAAAGCAATTCTTTGATTCGTTGCCTTATTTAAAAAAATGGTGAATATATTTCATTTTTTTATTAAATATAACATTTAGTCTTAACCCCCTAAAAAGAAAATAAAAACTTTTGGCCACTAAAAATAATATTTAAACTCCTCCTATTTACAAAAAGCAATTCTTTGATTCGTTGCCTTAATAAAAAAAATGGTGAATATATTTCATTTTTTAAAAATTTAACATTTAGTCTCAACCCCCTGAAAAGAAAATAAAAAGTTTTGGCCAATAAAAATAATATTTAAACTCCTCCTATTTACAAAGAGCAATTCTTTGATTCGTTGCCTTAATAAAAAAAATGGTGAATATATTTCATTTTTTAAAAATTTAACATTTAGTCTCAACCCCCTGAAAAGAAAATAAAAAGTTTTGGCCAATAAAAATAATATTTAAACTCCTCCTATTTACAAAGAGCAATTCTTTGATTCGTTGCCTTAATAAAAAAAATGGTGAATATATTTCATTTTTTAAAAATTTAACATTTAGTCTCAACCCCCTGAAAAGAAAATAAAAAGTTTTGGCCAATGAAAATAATATTTAAACTCCTCCTATTTACAAAGAGCAATTCTTTGATTCGTTGCCTTATTTAAAAAACAGGGGAATATATTTCATTTTTTAAAAATTGAAAATTTAGTCTCAACCCCGTGAAAAGAAAATAAAAAGTTTTGTCCTAGAAAAAAAATACCTCTCCGGTTTTTTTCAATATAGAAAAGAAAAAAGTATGTTTTGCAGATTTTAAAGGTCGACTGAAATTTTACGTGGAATTGCCCATATACAAAGAATTATAATTGTTTTCAAAAAGTTTTATAATAAATCGTGCATAAATGTTAATCATGAATATTAAATCAATATTTTCTATAGTTGACTCTTTAGTTTTCTTGATAATTTGGTCTATTTTAATGGTATTTAATTAAATTGTAAATTAAATATTCAGACGATTCAGACAAGGAAATCGTGAGTATTGCCACCTAGCGTGTGTTGAGCGCGGCTACCTTTCTCTACACTCCATGTTATCGACACTTTACATTGGTAGAAAAAATTATTACTTTAATTAATGTTTTTATTGTTAATATGCAACAATTAACAAAACTATATAATAAATTAAATACATTACATAGGGTAACTGCACCAATTGCCGAGGGTGCTCCAATTGTCGAGGATAATAATTTTCTTTTTTAGATAAATAGTATAATATATAATATTTAAGAACAAAAAAAATTTCTAAATAATCTTTGTATTTTCAACTGTATATTTATATATACAAATTTCGTAGCGATTCTACTAAAATAATTATTTAATTAATATTATAATTCACTGCTGTGAAATTTACACGAATCTCCATTTTCTTAATACTTCAGGTTGATTAAAACAGATTTTTAGAAATGCAAATTAAACGTATTTATAATGACTTTTTGTGTACAAAATTATTATTATAATATCGCACCATTTATCGATGGTTAAGTGTTTATTTACTAAACGTCAAACATAAATACCAAACAATTATAGGTACAGAGAAAAAGAAAAAAAATGCTCCAAAAATTTACAACCAACAGAAAATAATCAACCAAAAAAACGAGGAAGACCGAAAAAAAATTAATAAAAAAATGCATTATTTAAAACTAAAAAATTTTGTACTATAGTTTAATTATAATTAACCATTATATTTACAGTTCGTAATAAAAGTTTATTTTATTCGTTTACAAATTTAATGTGACTTAAATTAATTTATTTTTTCAATTAATGTCTGATTAACAAAATTGATTAAATTTAATTAACTTATATTTATAAAAGTTTAAAAAACAGTTAAATAATTTTCTGTCCTGTATCATCTACTATAAAAATGTTTTATATCGATATTATAAATTATTCAATTATAGTTAAATAAATATATTTGTTTTCTGGTAATGTTCTATAATATTTTTATCGAAAAAATAAATATCTACTCGATTTTCTAATATCTGTACAGGTTAATTGTTAGGTTATATTGGGTTATATGTTTAAAAATGTCATACCCTCGACAATTGGAACAGACCCTCGAGAAATTAGCACAAGACCATCGACAAATGGTGCTTTTGCTCGATTGACTTTTAAATATATTTTTTGCTTAACAATTTAGTTTATATTAAAAAAATAAATATGAATATTAAACATTATTAGATCCTTCGTCCAAATATACAAAAATCAAATTTTAAAGTGCATTTACTTTCGAGAAAAAAAATGTCAAAGTCACATGTTGCCTAAAACCCTCGACAATTGGTACAGTTACCCTATCTAAGAATATATTCAATATATATATCAATATATATTGATTGCTTTTTTTTAGCATTCTATTCTTATTTTCATTACAAATTAATAAATTTCACACACTATTTCAACTGTCACATTAGCACTTTTACACTTTACACATTAATATTTAATTATTTACAACATAATTTACCCTAAATGTTGGATAAATTTACACTTTAATACTCCATTTATTATTTTCAATAGTTTATTTCAACATTCTATGCTTTTTTATTGAATTTTTCGACCAATTACCGAACGTATACCGAACGTCTACCGAATTCAGTAGATATTCAGTGAAACCCGCCCGCCAGGGTATAATATATATATATATATATATACATATATATAAAAAAGAGATGGTTTTGTTTAGTTTTTTTTATTTTTCTATTATGTACAAAAATGTATATATGTATTTATAATAAAGCAAACATTTATAATTTTCTTAAATAAGAATACCTTTTACTCACCATTTTGTTTTGTTGCTCCAAAAAGGAAAATGCTCATCCATATTTTAAGAATTTATTTGAAAAGAAGAACACAATTAATCCATTGAGAAATAAATTTCGTGGGGAATAAATATTTAAAATATCACAAAACATTTTAAACATAAACAAACACTTAATTATATATTTTTATAATAAAATAAATTTTAAAGTGGACACACGTGTAGGTGTGCCACATTTTTGTGTTGGGAGGTGTGGCATCTGGCATCAGTGCCTAGTAAATTTTATAGGGAATTTTCAATTCTATATAGATGAACTAGGAATTTTCGATTGTCATCTTGGAGGATTCAAATTTAAAAATCTAAAGTTATATTTATATTACAATTAAACACCATTATTATTGTTATTATTATTATTAATATTATTATTATTATTTGATCCAGAAAATAAAAAGACCTTTTATTTGACATTTGTTCTTTCTCTTTCTCTCTCTATCGTATAATCATTGTATTATTATAGGTTATTATAAAATTATTGTAATTATTTTAGAAAACTGTAATTAAATATAGTATTAATTGTATTAATATTATTATTTTTTTTTTGCTTAGGGACTTTTGGGCAATCTGCCTACAGATACCTTGGATTCCGCACTCCAAGGTTATGTGGGGTTGGTAAAATGAAAAAAAGGAAATATTAAAAAAAAGATAAATAAATAAATGTTATAATAAATTTAATAACTGGCGACCTACTACCAGCCCGACCCATTAAAACCCGTAACCCTTCTTCTGGAGCCCTTTACCCTCCCTCGGAACTGTCGTAAGACTTTCGAGGGTGGCGCTCCAACTCTGTCGCTGATGCGACCTCCTTCTTCTCTCTGCGGTTTTCCTGCTTCCGTAGTTAAAAAAATGATTTAAACTATTTCATAGTCTAAGCGGAATTTACAGCACAACAATAATAAAAAAACAAAATTATTTAAGAAGTGTAAAAAGTCAAAAGATAAAATTGCAAACGGATATAAAAAAGAAAAGAAAAAAAAGTAAACACGTATATAATTTTGAGAAGATAAAACTGTACAAAACAGAATAAAAAGCACAAAACAAATTAAAAAATGTATAAGGACAAATAAGGAAATTTGCATTGAATTCGTGGAAGATTTGGCGATAATAATGCAAGAGAAAAATCTTCAATTACATCAAGTATATAATGCTGATGAAACCGCTTTGTATTGGAAGATGATGCCAAGAGTTACTTTCGTCTCCGAATTCGAAAAAAAAGCGGAAGGATTTAAAATTTCAAAAGAAAGGATCACTCTCATGACTTGTGCAAACGCAGATGGTAGTCACAAAATTCCTCTTTTTGTAATTGGCAAATCCAAAAACCCTAGGTGTTTTAAAAGTGTTGCTAAATTGCCAGTTGAATATAATAATCAGAAAAGTGCCTGGATGACACGAGAATTATTTAGAATTTGGTTTACAGAGGTATTTATTACTTCTGTAAAACAATTTCAAAAAAGAGAAGGAAGATCTTATGAAGTCTTACTCATTCTAGATAATGCAAGGTGTCATTTATCTAAGGAAGAGATAGATTCAATTTCCGATTTTTGTACTGTGAATATTTTCTTCAAATACAATTAGACTTTCTATTTTAGTTAATAATGGAAAAATTTTATTGCAGGCAAAATTTCTACCTCCGAACGTAACATCACTTATTCAACCGATGGAACAGGGTGTTATAGAAAAATTAAAAAAAATTTATCGAAAAAGTCTACTGCGGGACATGCTTATAGAAAAAGATGAAGAAAGTCTTTCAAAATATTTGAAAGATTTTAATATTTTGAATTGTTGCACTTTTATAGCAATGGCATGGAGAGAAATAAGTCCAACAAATATTATTCGAGCTTGGAGGAAGCTCATTCCGGCATGTGACATAGATGTTCTTGAAACAAATAATGTCACTGAAGATGACATTGTTCAATTAGCCTACAGGCTTCCTGGTTTTAAGGACATTACTGTTGCAAACATACTTTATTGGCTCGAAATGGATAATAATGAACCTTGTTGGAGATTGGAAAACATAGAGCAGATTTTGCGAAGGTAAACATTAATTTTTCCTTAAATATTTTCATTAGGATAACAGTACCTTTTCATTACAATTTGTGTGAAAATGAATAATTTTCTTACATTTATTTTACAGATATTCTTCTTGCAATGAGCCTTTGAGCAATAGTGAAGAAGAAAATGAGGAACAAAATGAGGATTCGGAATGTGAAAAAAATGAGGATACGGAATGTGAAGAGAATGAGGATGGAATTTTAGAACATAAAAATATAGTGGAGGAAGCTAATAATGCTCTGAAGTGCTTAAGTGACTTCCAAAAATGGTATCAAAGGCAATGGCACTACGAGACGGAAAATATATTAGTCCTGCAAAAACTGAAAACTGAAACTAAGGATGTTGTAGCTCATTTGAAAAACTTATTTTTATTAGAAGAAAACAAAGAATATGTTCATCCACATTAATTTTTATGGAAATTTCCTTCGAGTATAGTAAAATTTATACAATTTTATAATAAAAGTAACATTATAAGAAATTTTTGATTAAAAATTTTTATAAACATAATAACAAGTACAAAAATAGAAAAAAACGTTATAAAAAGTTTGATTTGAAAACGCTGCAATTGTTGGGAAAAAAATATTTGAGAAAACTGAATTCACTATAATATAGTAATTTTTTACTTAATTTTTAAAATTTCCCTTTTTAAACCAAATTACCTGTTTAAAAAATTTATAATTAACTCCTTAATAATTGAAGATGATAATTAACAAATTTTATTTTATTTAAATTCAAATTGTTTTAAAACTGTAAATAAATTTGAATTCCAATTGTTTTAAAAATACTATATTTAAAAAAGTTTTAAAATGTTGTTTTTTTTAAATAAAATACATTTAAAATTTTAATTAAAAAATCCAATGAAAAAATAAAAGTAAATTAGTTTACACGGTCTACTTCTGATCCACACTTGAGGTGTGTATATTTACGGCCCTGAAAGGTGCGCAATAGGTTTAATTTTGGGACATAACAGTGTTGAGTCTGGAGGAGTGGGAAATTTCTGGAAATATAACAGTATGGGGACCCGACTGTACTTTTACCTGAAAAATGTGTAAATTTTATAAAAATTCATTAACAATATTCCGAGATATTCAAAATTTTATAAAATTAATATTAAGATTCAAAATGGTAAAATCTTCAACAACTTTGAATTTTTTTTTAAATTTGGGGGGAAGAAGTCTCTTATATAGAACTATAATCCCACGAAGTTTTGCGAAAATCAGCAGACCCTTTGCAAATCGTGATATTTCTGACGTGCAATACCTCTACTCTAATAATAATCCTGTTTTATAGATAGTAATTCTAACTCAGCTCTCACTGTACTGCGATAATAAATACTTATATTTATTCCAGTTAAAATAAATAACGGAACATTCCTCATCGGAAAGTAGTCTACACCGAATCAAATAAATATAAACTTGTCATAATTTAGTTGAAACTGCTATAGGTCAGATGCAGAAAACACATTGCTAATTGACATATCGAACATAGAAGTATTTATAAATTAAATTAAAGTCAGAGTTATAAATTACGTTAAAGTTAAATTAAGTAGATTTAATTAGAGTTATTTTAACAAATATCATAGGTTCAATAAACCACTAAACCAAAAATAATCTAAGTAATATAAATAATAGAATCTCATTTCTATTTTATTGCTTTGCATAATGCAAACCTTTTTCAGACCGACTGCCAGAAAAAGCTCCAGAATGTCTCAACAGCCCCCTCCCACGTCATATCTCCGATTAACAAAAAATCTAACATCGAAACAATGCTGTTTCAATTAAACCTGGATCTCCTCTTAATCACGGAAACATGGCTTGGGACTAATAACTGTGGCATCTGGCATCAGTGCCTAGTAAATTTTCCAGGGAATTTTAAATCCTTAATAAATAAACTAAATTTTTCTATTGTAATCTTGAGAGATTCAAATTTAAATATAAATAATACATTATACAATATTAATAATAATATTATTATTATTATTATTTTAAAAATATAGGAAAACCTTCATATCGACATTTAATTTTATTTTCTCTCTCTATCGTGTAATCATTGTATTATTTAAAGATATTGTAAAAGTATTATTATAAATAATTATATAAAACTGTAATTAGATATAATTAACTATAATAATCGTCGTATTCATTCTGTCCAGTCTGTCCACACCTGAAGTTAGTCATGGTTATTCTTTTTTTTTCTATTTGTTTTGATAGAAAATAGAAATAAAATATAAAATAACGATTTTTTAACAAAATTTATGCTTTTGTTTTTTATATGTTTTGATAGATAATATTACATTTCTTTATTTTGTTTTTATTTTTTTAATTTAATAATAGGTATTATTTTTATTTCTCAAATAATTCAAAAATATTTTTATTAATCTAAAAAAATTATTAATATTATTATATTATTCATTATTTCCTTTAATTCTAAAAAATTAGCATTTTGTAACAAATATTTTAGAAAATTAACAAATGTAAATCCTGTAAAATATTTTCTTTTTTTTAATATGAAAAACTTTATTACTTAACAAAATTTTGACTTCTTCCTTGACTCTAAAGAATATTCTGATTCTCTCTAAAAATGATTAGATACTCCAAAAAAATGTTCCATTACATTTATTTACGAATTTCTTTAATTCTAAAATCATTTGAAAACATCAATTACTTCTTTTCTAAATAAATTTTAATCATTATTATTTTCCCACAGGAATAAATTATTTTTAATAATTTTTGAAAAAATAAATACTTCAAATAATTTCAGAAAAAAATTCAATTAAACTTTTTTAAAATAATTAATTCTACAGAATTGTTAGTTATAAGTATGAAAAATACAAATTTTTAAAGAATTTGATTTGGAACCATTTTAAAATTTAATTATTTCTTAAAATTCATGCTATAATGCTTTTAATATTCAATTATTATGTAGAACTTTAACTGAAATTCATTTTGAAATAAATTTTTTATTAGAGAATTCAATAATTTAAATGCAAAAATAAATAATTTATTGAATAATTAAAATTTCTTAAAATTTAAGTCTGATAAAGAATTTTATCAAAACATTTTTAAATTCATTTTTTGAAGGCACAAATATGAAATTTTATGCAAAGTTAGCAAAGCAGTGATATATTTTGTAAATTTCAATTTTTCACGAAATTTTTTAAAATTATTTTTTGTGATTAAGTATGTAGTTAAGTGATTAAGTACCAGTTTTTATTGTTAATAGGCATTATTATTAATTATCTATTAATACTAGGAGAAACTACACGCGCGTTTTTTTAGCTGTCACCTGTAATAATTTCAAAAGATAACATTTTTGTAATTTTTCATAAATTTATCAAAGAATTTTTTATTGAAATTTTGTAAAGATAATCGAATTTCTTTTGAGTAATGATAATAATAATAATAATAAATTAAATACTTTGTTTGGCAGGCGTGACATTTACTACTTATTTATATTATTTATAAAAAAATTTTAAATACAAATTTCATAAAATTCAATTATTTTTTTAATTTTTAAATAAAAAATTATTCCAAAATAATTAATAAAAAATAATTTTTTCTCGATAGTTTTTCAAAAATTAAATTATTTAAAAAAATTAATTTTAAATCTGTAAAGTCTAATTATTGTTAAAAACAGGAAGAGTTTGAAATATATAAAATCTTTTCAATGCTCAAGAATAACATTCAGAATTTTCTTATGAATTCTTGAAATTGAATATTATTCCAGCACTTTTGACAAAATTTTCTGACTTTTTCCTGATTTCCCTGAATAAATTTAGAAAAATAGTGATTTTGTGTAGAATTCTTCTAAATAATAATTGAATTTTTAAATGTTAATGATATGAAAATAATATTAATTAATTTTGACTAGACAACTATTAGAAACAAAATAACAAATAAATAATTAAGTCTAATTAAATGTAATTTATTTTTGATAATTAATAAGTCAAACATAATTTAATGAACATATTTTTCATTATCGTCTCATTGGCATTCACGCTTTCATTAATTTTCATGTGACATGTAATGTAAAAATTACATTATTGTTGTATATATATATGTTAAAAGTGAAACAAGAAACTTCACGCGCGCTTTAGCGCGCCCCACATAGCACAATAGTATGAGGTAAGGTTATGTTGAATACTAATCGTAAGGCTCATAAGGTTACACGATATTGCTGTGGTAGACCTGAGGTGAACTAAAAACTTCCGCCATGGAGGTAAGGTTACATGTTAGAGTGTGGTAAGTATATATGATAAGGCTATGGCAACCTTACACGTTAAGGTTGAGATAACCTTACACGTTAAGGTTGATGTAACCTTACATGTTAAGGTTGAGGTAACCTTACACGTTAAGGTTGAGGTAACGTTACACGTTAAGGTTGAGTTAAGGTTATATGTCAAGGTTAAGGTAAGGTAATTATTAAGTTGTAAGGTTGAGGTAAGGTTAAGGTAAGGTTGTGATAAGTTTACCAGTTATGGAAAATATTGACAAAATAATTAATAATATAATAAATAAATATTAAATTAGAAAGTTAAGTTTGTTTCTCTTCTCTATTTTGGAAACCTGACATGAAGCAGAAAATTTTGAAAACAAATTTGGGGGGACTGGGATTCGAACCCAGGATCGACGCGCATAAACCTAACATTCTAACTAACTGAGCTAAGTGGAGAACTGGTAGCAAGAAAATTAATTTTGCCTTTAAGGAGTTAATCATATTCTTGGTTCACCTTAAAGGCAAAATTGATTTTCCTTCTGACAGTTCTGTACTTAGCTCAGTTCGTTAGAATGATTGGTTTATGCGCGTCGATCCCGGGTTCGAATCCCAGTCCCCCCAAATTTGTTTTCAAAATTTTCTGCTTCATGTCAGGTTTCCAAAATAGAGAAGAGTAACAAACTTAACTTTTTAATTTAATATTTATTTATTAATTAAATTATTAATTATTTTGTCAATATTTTCCATAACTGGTAAACTTATCACAACCTTACCTTAACCTTACAACTTATTAATTACCTTACCTCAACCTTGACATATAACCTTACCTCAACCTTAACATGTAACGTTACCTCAACCTTAACGTGTAACGTTACCTCAACCTTAACGTGTAACGTTACCTCAACCTTAACGTGTAAGGTTACATCAACCTTAACGTGTAAGGTTATCTCAACCTTAACGTGTAAGGTTATCTCAACCTTAACGTGTAAGGTTACCATAGCCTTATCATATATACTTACCACACCCTAACATGTAACCTTACCTCCATGGCGGAAGTTTTTAGTTCACCTTAGGTCTACCACAGCAATATCGTGTAACCTTATGAGCTTTACGATTAGTATTCAACATAACCTTACCTCATACTATTGTTCTATGTGGGGCGTTATTTGTGCTAGTATTAATATTATTTTAA